TGGGTGCGTCACTTTTACCTTTCTTCAGTTTTGTTCTTTTATATCTTTATATGATATGCAAGCGGGGGCATCATCTTTGTCCCATGGACACATTCCACATTTATTGAAATTGTATTACTATATGATACTTTCTTTTCCTTTTCGATATAAAAAAAGTTCTTTTTTGTACAAGATATTTAGTTAATAGTTGCTGACAAGAAGAAAATTTATAATTCTGTAACTATAAATGAATATTGAAGACATAAACTGAAACCACTGTTATACTTTAATTGTATTTTAAGTTAAGAATTGAACAATATTAACATTACTTAAAGGGAATAAAGCATCGCTGTGACGCGAAAAAAAAACCAATTAATTGTTTTACCCCAAATGTGATGCTATCCAAAATTTCTGGGGAAAACACTGCTTATTACCACAAAACTCAGATCAAGTACAAATTTGAGTAGTGTCACTTTTGCCGTTCTTCAGTTATGTCCCTTTATAACTTTATATGATATGCAAGCGGGGACATCATGTGTGTCCCATGGACACATTCCTCATTTATTGTTTTTGTTTTCTATTTTTACTAAATCAAAAAAAAGGGATGCTGACCTCCACTCGAAAGTAATAAAATTGTTGTATTTGTTCCTTTCTGCCAATTTTCAAAGCCCGTTTATATGAAAGTATACAATATAAAAAAGATGATAACATCATCATAATCATGGTATAATAAAAACAATTCCAGCTTTTATTCTTACTGAAAGAATGGTATACAAATTAAACACAGTTTATACTTATAACAGGTGATTGATGCTGGCCAAGATGACAAACACATGAGTTAATACTTTTTATCAGCGTTGTTCCCCAGAGGCTTCAAAGTTTAATCATGACTTCGATTTCACAGCTTACAGAAGAAGAGAAAAACTTCACCAGATTTTTTTTGCTCAACTTTAAAGTATCTCCTGACATTGCAAGGCGATACTTTGATGTCGTATTTCCACCAACACACATAGCTCAAACTATTAACAACAGTATGCAGGTCGTCATGAAGTTGAACAAATCAAGAAGAATCAATGCAGCCCAATTAGAAATCCTAAGGGGTATTCCTGGTACGATATGGCCATCCTATCTTCCTCCGATACCTGTCGGAGCAACAGGTAAATATCCATAATAGAGTTAACAAATTTCTGATGCATTCACATTCTTTCCACAGAAATTTGTAAAATAGTAGTTCAAACTAATGATTGTGAAAAATTACACTTGTTATTGAACCATGATAAAGATTCTGTACTTTTCTGTGTTGATCGTATGAAAAATATTATGATCTACTAATTAAAAAATATTAAAAGGAAAATAAGAAAAAAGTAGTATGATTGCCAATAAGACAACAATCGACCAAACAGCACATAAAAAAAGATGAAAACGCTAACAGGTCACCGAATGACCTTCAACAATGACCACACATCATATCATTATATAAGCTATAAAAGGCCCGGAATATTTTGTAATGAAACACTTTAAAAGAAAAAATTACAGATTGACTTTAAGCTTATAACATTTAACGAACCATATTTAGAACAGACGATAAACATATGACTTCAAGCTGCTGATTTTAGGATTTAGGCACACAAACATTTTGCTGGGTTTAACACACTAACGGAATAAGTAGAAAATAGGTAAACCATTCGAAGAAATCCTTTAAAACTATCATTACGTGCTCGACGTTAAGACCCGAGTTAAATAGAACAACCAAATATCAAGCACACTGCCTATATAAGAAATATCAGTTAAACAATAATAAGAAGCTAAACTGATACACAGTTATGAATGTCTTATCTTATTAAGGCAGGATTTACACATATGGAAATATCCTAGGTATCTTTCTTCATTTGACTACGGCCCTCTTAAATAAATTAACTCCTTCAATTTTAAATTATATCCTCTTTTTGGATATTCAAGTATTTTCCCGTCTTGGAAGTAAAACTAATATGCACTTTAAACTTTCTGTGTTGGATATTTTCAAGTATGTTAAGGAATCTTGAGGAAAATTGCTTACAATCTGGATAATTTCTAAATGGGAAAGTAGCAATAATCATGTTCTTGAAAGAATGTTGCCGAAAAATCAAGAAAGCAGGTAGCATGAAAGTTTTTTTACCTTGAACATGTAATCTCCAAGGTATTTCAATTAAGCGGACATATCATGAACAATCGTCTGTTGTATTTGTTTTTTTTTTTTTATTTTGAATCTGGCTATTTTACGAATTTCGGTTATTTTTTTTTTGCAATTTTACTACAGTTTTGCTTCCATTTTCAAACCAAAAAGGCTGAAAGTTCTGTAAATTGATAATGCGCATTTGAGGCAAAAAAATGTATAATTCACCTATATGCAGACAAATTATTGCTATATGAAACTCATAAAAAATCAACATGATGAACGTCTATGTTTTTTTAAATGCCTATTCCACCTGTATTTCCACTAAACACGGGGTCAAAATCAAACAGTTGACGATTTCCCAATAATTTGTCATAAAACTTGGTTAGTAAAATTTAGGTAACGAATACATCCATACCCTTATTGAATGAATTTGCATCGGAAGGATGATAGTTACTTCCGATAGAACTTTTATTTGGTTAGGAATGTCCTTATTCATTTTTCCAAATAAATACTCTGAATTTGCCGAAATGTTTTTAAATTGCAGTATTAATCCAACTTTAGTTACATATAATCAAACTGCATGTTCCGAAATACGAAATAATTTTTCAACTATACATCTAATAGTGTGATACGATAATCAAAGATTAAAGATTTTTTTGAAAATATCAAAAGTGTGAAATAATTCCTCGGAAATTGACCCGTCCTCTTTTTATCCTTTATTCTTTTTCCAGCTACCTCTTCTAAGGACTTTGATCTGACACTGATGATATGTCTGCTTCGTAATATAGGAGGTTTATCAAAACCCTCTAATGGATGGGATCAACTTCCTCACCCGAATGATACGTTACCAGGAGCAGCCCTTGCTACACTGAAGTGGTACAGAAATCAGCTGGCCCATACAACAGTTACTTCTTTTGATTACAATGAATTCCAAGACAAATTAACTCGGGTTGAGATGGTACGTTGTTTTAATTAAAGTATATGTTTATTACTTTTGTTTAGATATTCCTCATCGTAATTGTTGCAACCAAAGTACATGTACTTGTTTTGTTCAGATAATCCTCCTTGTAATACTTACAACCAAAGCACATGTATTTATTTTGTTCAGATATTCCTGACTTTAATTTAGACATGAAACAATAAAAAATAAAACTTTCAACTGTATTGTCTGACAAACGTTTTTCACCTCAATTTGGATGGTGCCGACGAAATGTGTTTATATGTCACAGGTCATATATTGCAATGCACATGTAACTTCAGCTGCTCGGCTTCGATTTCAGGTACCAGTAGTTAAAGATTAAGTTGCGTCCACAGAAAATGAAACGTGTACTATTATTCTCAGAGCTAAGGCTCTGGGCTATAGAAACACTGTGAGAAGTCCTCGTGAGGGGATAGATTCTGAAAAAAAAACAGACGATATTATGTGAATTGTATACCTTTAGAATTATGTATCGTATGCAATTTCACAAGATCATCATAAATCTCAATATTGGATTCATTTTAATTTACTACATGTCAACTTGTACACACGAACTTAAGAGCAGATCTATAAAATATTACTATTTAACAAATGTTAAGCCAATTTTAGAAATAGTGTTGGTTTATTACATATTTATATACAGGTGCCAATCTATATGATGTGTTATTTAACTTGACGATAGATGGCGTGAAATATTAAGATTTGCAAGGTCTTCATTATAAACGTGATTACATGAAGAATAGTAGAACAGTTGATAATGGAATTTGATGCGACTGTCATACAAGTGAGAGGTTTAGCTAGCTTTAAAACCAGGTTCAATCCACCATTGTCTACATAAGAAAATTCCTGTACCAAGTCAGGAATATGACAGTTGTTATCCATTCGTTTGATGTGTTTGAACTTGTGATTTTGCCATTTGATTGGGGACTTTCCTTTTTGAATTTTCCTCGGAGTTCAGTATTTTTTGTGATTTTACTTTTTGATGCTTCTTTTTTCAAAATAAAAACACAAAATCTAATAAAATGTTTCGAAAGTTATGTCCCATTGGACATTATGTTATCATCAATTACGCGTATACCCTTCTCATTTTAGGCTTTGAAAATTTTAAATGATGGTCAAAGACCAATCGAAGTTACTGAAATCTTGAATTACGATCTTGATGGAGACCAAGCAAAATCATTAGCCAAAGAAGACCTGGAGCAACTTAAAAAAGTATATCTGGATCGTGGAAAGGAAAAAGAACAGATAGAAAGTGATTTCTCCCATTACAGGAAAGGCAATCTTCCAAATCACATTGCAGGTTTGTTTCAGTGTTTATCAATAGAACCAGTTTGAAGTGGCTAAACGCAGGTCGGGTTACAGTTGCATAAAGTTCTATACATCTTTTCCCTTTATAAAAAGTAAAACGGAAACTACAAAATCTGTGTTCATGGTCAGTTGTATGTTCAGTAACTCAAGTAAGACTAAATTTTGAAACGTTATTAGTCAATACTAAAGAGCACAACGTGTGAGTTGAAATTGATAATTTTCTTAAATAGAGAATGCCCTTTGAAAATATGGAAACAATAATAATCTAAGGTTTACATTTAGTACTTGAGAATGCAGGATATGAAACTATTTGAAATTTCAACTATCAAGATGTTAGGAACAACCAAACATTTAATTACAGATTTTTTATCTATTATTTCAGATAATTTATAACCTTATCAACGGTAAAACATATCCTTATTTGAAGTTTCTTCCCAATATGTCAGTACCAATTGCATTGAAAATATATATGAATCCTTACAGAGGCGAATGCAACTTTGGTTGAAACATGGATAAAAGATGATGAAAGTTATTTTGAAACAAAGGGATCTGAGTTTGTTTCTGATAAAATGAAAGATTGTAGCTGTGTTGTGGTGACATCAAATTTAGGATTTGGAAAGACCGCCACCATCCGACATATCGCAATACAATTTAAACTGAAAGGATTTGAAATTGTTTCCGTAGAGTCGCCAGAGGATATAATCAAATACAAAACAAATGAAAAACAAGTGTTTCTTATTGATGATGTCCTTGGTAAATACGATTTGAATCAGACCCTGTTGGATAACTGGGAAAGAATAAACGAAAAGCTAATAAGCAGCATTGACACAGGACAAGGTTCAACAAAAATATTGTGCACACTAAGATTAAAAATATCGCTTCATCAAAGATTTAAAAATGCAACCACAATTTTAAACAAAGTAGTCATAGATTTAGAACAAGAGACTATCGCTCTTTCAAAAGAGGAAAAGCAGAAAATATTAATGAAACATCTTAGTACAAGTACTTTAGAAACTGAAATTGAAGCAGAGGAGGTTGATTTAATGTGTGAAACGAGTTATGCATTTCCTCTTCTCTGCAAGTTAGTTTCAAACAATGAGGAAAGATTCAGAAAAAGAACCACATTCTTTAGGCAACCATTATCACTTATAAATGAGGAACTTGATAAAATGAGTAATGAAAATAAGAATTTATATTGCATTTTGCTGCTATGTATGATGTTTAATGGTTTATTTAGTAGAGACATGTTTGACATTGACTCAAATGAATGTGATAAGAAAATATACAAAATGACGCAAACTTGCGGACTTCAAAGAAACATTTCTAAGAATGAACTTGAGAATGGCGCCCTTTCTGCTTTAAAATCTTATTTCATAAAGGACAGTTACAATTCCCGGTTAATTCACAATGTTATTGAACAAACTGTCGGTTGGCATTTCTGTACTATGAATCCAAAAGGAATATTCGAAAATGCATTAGCAAACGCAGAACTGAAACTGAAACATCGGCAAGACGTATACCAGGATTGTGAAAAGGAAAAAGATCAGATAGAACATGATTGCTCAGTTGACTCGATAGGAAATCTTCCAAAAAACATCGCAGGTTTGTTTAAATGTTTATAAATAAAACCAGTTTGAGTTGACTAAACACTGGTGGAGGTTACAGTTTTATACATTATATGTTTGTAATTTCACATTCACTTTCAATACTTTAACGGAAAATATAACGTTGTCAGCTTCGTCGTCGTCGTTTGAAGACAATTGGTTTCCAGAAAATAACTTGAGAATAAGTGTGGATCTCTATGAAATTCTACCGCAAGAATTAGTATCACAAAAGGAACGATTGGGGATTATGGCCCAAACTGTTAAGGAATATGGGACCAAAAAAGGGCAAAAAAATAGAATTTTCTGGTTTCTGGACAGTGACCTTGAGTATATCTTTATGGATCTCTATAAAATTGTACCACAAGGTTTTATACCACAAAGGAATGGTTGGGATTGATTGTTTGTGTTATTGTCTTTACTGTTTAAGAATTAGGGACAAAGAGGGACCAAAATAAACATTTGTATTGTTTCAGGACAATAAATTATGTATAAATGTATGGATCTCTATAATTATACCACAATGTTCCATAGATCAAATGAAAGATTCGGATTGCTTTTGGGTCTTATAGCCCAAACTGTTTAGAAATAAGGGGCCAAAAACTAGAATTTCTGGTTTCTGGACAATAACTTGAGTACAAGTCTGTGGATATCTACGAAATTGTACTACAAGGTTCCATACAAACAAAGGAAGGTTGGGATTGACTTTAGGGGTTATGGTCCTAACCGTTTAGTGAGAAGGGGCCAAAACAATACTTTTCTAATACTTTGTAGAAATTGCCTATTTCTTGGCAAATTTCAATGTGGTTAAATTCAAAGTCTTGTTCTAATATGCTTTATTATGCTGAATCTAATCGTGTATTAAGATTTTTAATTTATGGCCCAATTTTTTAATTGGTCCACATTGAGGTCCAAAGGGTCCAAAATCAAACTTTGTTTGATTTAATCAAAAATTGAAATATTGGGGTTCTTTAATATGCCTAATCTCACCTTGAATTTAGACTTTCATTTTGGGGCATGTTTTCGAATAAGTCCATATTAAGGTCGAAAGGGACCAAAAGTATACATTTTTGATTTTCTTAGGTTTCTTTGATATGCCGAATCTAACTTTGTGTTTAGATTTTTTATTTTGGAACCGGTTTGAAATTGGTTCACATTAAGGTCCAAAGAGTCCAAAATTAAACTAAGTTTGATTTTACCAAAAATTAAATTCAAGGGGTTATTTCATATGTTGAATCTGAACATGTATTTAGATTTTTGATTTTGGGCCAAGATTGTTCAAATCGGGGTACAAAATGAAATTTGGTTTGATTTCAACAAAAATTGAAAACATGGGGTTCTTTGAAATGCTAAATCTAAACGTGTATTTAGATTTTGGATTTTTGGCCATGTTAACAAATTGGTCCACATTGAAGTCAAAAGGGTCCACAATTAAATTTTGTTTGATTTCATCAAAAATTTAATTCTTTGGATATGTTGATTCGAACCATGACTTGTATTTAAATTTTGGATATGGACCATATTAGGTAAAAGTTCAATTTCAAATTTACAGGATTTTGACCACATGAAACCTATGCTTTGTCAAATATTTTATCACAATCCAAATTCAGAGCTGTATCAAGCTTGTATATTGTGTTCATACTTGCTCAAAGTGTTCAGGGTTCGACCTATATGCTGTCGTCTCAAGCTGTGCCCAGGGAACTGTTTACTAGCCATTATTATAAAGTATGTAGATCGGGCGATTTGAATTTTTCAAATTTGTTATCAAGAGATTTGCCCCTTGAAAATGTGAAATACATTGTGTAACCAAGTTTAAGATGACAATTCTATACTTGAATATACTTCTATACCGAATCATGTGAAACTTCAACACAATCAGGATGTTAGAAACAACTAAACATTAAATTTACATAGTTATTGTTTATTGTGTTAAATAACTTAAAACTTTGATAATATAAAGACAATCCTTATTCGGAGTTACTGCTAAATTAGTCAATATATTCTCTTTACAGATTCGAATGCAACTTTGGTTGAAACATGGATAAAAGATGATGAAAGTTTTTATGAGACACCGGGATCAGAACTTGTTTATGATAAAATGAAGGATTGTAGCTGTATTATGGTGACGTCAAATTCAGGTTTAGGAAAGACTGCTATTATCCGACATATCGCATTAAAATTTAAACATGAAGGATTTGAAATTGTTCCCGTAGAGTCGCCAGAGGATATAATCAAATACAAAACAAATGAAAAACATATTTTTCTTATTGATGATGTTCTTGGTAAATACAACTTAAGTCCGACCCTGTTGGACATATGGGAAAAAATCAACGAAAAACTTATTACCTACTTTGAAAACACGGGAATAGGTTCAAAAAAATTATTGTGCACACTGAGATTACAAATAGCACTCCATACAAGATTTAAAAAAGCATCGACAATTTTAAACAAAGAGGTCATAAATTTAGAGTGCGAGCCTTATGTTCTTTCAAAAGAAGAAAAGCAAAACATACTATTGAAACACCTTCGGAGAAGTAATCTAGAAGGAACATTTGAAAAAGATGAGGTCGACATAATGTGTGAAACGAATAATGCATTTCCTCTTCTGTGCAAATTAGTTTCAAATAATGAAGAACGATTCAAAAAAAGAATTACATTCTTTAGGCAACCATTACCACTTTTAAAGGAGGAACTTAATAAAATGAGTAATGAAAATAAACAGTTATATTGCATTTTGGTGCTATGTATGTTGTTTAACGGTTCATTTAGTAGAAATATGTTTGACTTTGACTCAGATGAATGTGATAAGAAAATAAACAAAATAATGCAAACTTGTGGACTTCCAAGAAATATGTCTAAGAGAGAACTTGGTGATAGCGCCCTTTCTGCTTTAAGTTCGTATTTCACAATGGACAGTTACAGTTTCCGATTTATTCACGATGCTCTTGAAGAGACTGTCAGTTGTCATTTCTGTACTTTGAATCCCAAAGAAATGTTTACAGACTGTAATATCTTGTTTATAAGAGATCGAGTAAGAGTTTATTCTAATGAAAACATAGATGAAAATGTTGGTGAAAATATTGTGATTATTCAAGAAGATGAATTGAACGAGGATCATCTTAGACCGTTATATAATAGGTTGGGGACTGAAATAAACAGTGGCAGATTTTCAAGTTTGTTGATGAGTCAGCTTTTAAAGAATAGAAACTTTGTCCATACGTTTGTAACCCATTTAGAAAAAAACAAGAGCATACTTGGATCAAAACAACCCTTTTCTAAGATTAGTTCGGAGCGGAGAAATAGCTTCCATCCGTCTATTTTTCAGATGTTTTTTAAGACTGTATCAAATGATAAATTTCGTGATAACAAAGATGCCATTAGTCGAGTTTTAGAGGCTAAAGTCAACAGAAGTACACTTATGGACTGGATAGTTGCCTTCGGCTGTTATGAATTCTTTCAATTTGCTTGGAGCTCGATTACAACCTCAGAGCAGAAATGTATTCTCGGTAGAGGTTATATGTCTAAGTCCTTCTTTCCTTTAGCTGTTCTGGGTGGTAGCTTAGATATTGTAAAAGAATTAATTCGTACTGGAGCAGACGTAAACTGTTTCTCCGAGTTTTGGGAAACACCTTTATATATAGCAATTAAGTCGGGTCACTGTGATATTGCAGGCTTGCTTTTACGCAAAGGAGCACATGTAAATCTTCGAGGATGGTTTGACATGAAGATCCCAATTTTAGTCACTACAAACAATCATCCATTAACCAGTTTGATTCTTCAATATGATTTAAACCAGACCAAACTTCATAAAGCAGTCCGACATAACGATCTACATATTTTGAGATCAAATATTTCATCCGAGATTATTGATTATAAAACAAAGAGCGGATGGACAGTCCTACATTACGCCGTATTATTAAATAATTTTGAAGCTGTTAAGGTTTTATTCCAAGACGAATTGCCTCAGAAAGATGAGTCCCATTTTGACTGTTTGCAAGTTGATCAAAGAGAATATGTATGTAGAAAGCCGACACCTAAAGTAAGCATAGCTGACAATAACGGGCTTACTGCTGTACATCTTGCAGTAATAAACAATGGTATCGATATACTATCTCTTCTACTTCGTAATAAAGCTAGCGTAAAGGCTCGTGATAATCTCGGTAGAACCCCATTACATTACACAACTAGTGAAAGTGCAAAAAGATTATTGCTCACTTATAACACTCAAAACTAGTGTTGCAAACTAACTATCATTATAACCGAAACACAGATAAGAGGAGAGAGTACGCAAAAATACTTACATCTGCTTTCATGACCATATGTTTTCATATTACTCTACAAACTGGGTTCAGAAATGTTTGTCTTGACTGTGTAAACACATACCAGACAGTGAGAGTAATACACCATTACATTCTGTTATGAACAGGTGTCTTATACAAAACGAAACTAGTGATTGCATAGAAACATTGTAAGAGAATGGAGTTAAATCGATATTTATTTAATGACATGTACATTTTAGCATTTGAGTTAATTTTGTCTTCCCGTGGAAAGACATTTTGATTTTGTTCTGATTCTTTTTCCTCCCGCCACTTTTCTATATTGATATTTTTTTTTAGTTTCGCAAGATATCGAAAAAAAAAGGTACATGATATCGAACACTGAAGACGCTTTCGCATTTGACCCTGTGTACCGTACACTTTCTCCCGTGAGCGTAATCTCCCAATACATTGCTTTTGACTACTACTTTGCAACCGTAAAAGAAATCGACAAACTTATTTCTTTCTAAATTGCTCGTTGTATACTCAGAATGTTTTGTTAAATTGTGTCCGAAGTCATACAGAGATATGAGAGTTATTTCCCCTTCTGTTATTGACATAGTGATATATAAATGTTACTCATGAACTGTAAGTTATAATGACCTAGGGTATTTTGAATTGATGCCCTTGGTCCCCCGACAGACATTTGAAGTAAAAGTCATGATCAAGGTCATGATCTAAATTATGACTTTTGATTGATTTTGATGTTACTAGTAACCAGATGTAGATTGGTCGGCCAAAAAGGTTTTTAAACCTATTTAAAAAAGATAACTGAATATTTGAATATGGTTGACAAAAATTAAAAATCTTTTTTCAATTTTATTTTAATCTGTTTTAAATCATTTTTAGACTAGTCAAATATATTCCCGTGCAGTCATTTATGTATTAGAGAATTTATAAGAAGTAGTGGACTCGTAAATAATTACCAACGAGCGACTTAAGTAGCAAGTTGATTATCGTTTCCGAATTCACTGTCGGGTTTACGTTTTGACAAAAACTCACAGTATTTCATGAAGATAATTTTATATTTTGTCCTTTTTATTCTATAATAGTTGGAAATGATTACATCCACATCGTTCTCGTCTATATTTAGACCAGTTAACACAAGTTAAATATAACTTAAATGGAGTGTTAGCTCCCCTTTATAACTCCAAATTTCATATTGGTTGATAAGTGACATGAAAACTAGCGTCATCTAGTTAATTTTGGTCTCTCACAATAACTGCTAATAAATAAAACGAAAAAGTGAATCAGATGGTCGTAATTGCACGTCTTGGGATCGTGAAAAATAATAAAATATCAAATAGAAATGAACGAATTAAAACCAATTTGTCAATCTGTTACTCTTTCTGAAGGTCAAATTATTTTTATGTCCCAGCCGTATCGGAGGGGGCATTAAGTTTTACCCTTGTCCGTCTGTACGTCCATCCATCCGTCCGTCCGTTCGTTTGTCCGTCCGTACGTCCCAAAGTTGGTTTCCGTTCTTTAACTTTAGTTTGTCTCAACCAAATACTATGAAACTTAGACACAATGCTTTTTCACACAAAATACAGATCAAGTTTGAATTTTGGTGGTGTCACTTTAACCGATGTAGAGTTATGCCCCTTTACAAAGGGAAAAATTGCTGAATTTTTCGTTTCCGTTCTCTAACTTTAGTTTGCCTCAACCAAATGTTATGAAACTTATACACAATGCTTATTACCACAAAATACAGATCAAGTTTGAATTTTGATGGTGTCACTTTAACCGTTCTAGAGTTATGCCCCTTTACAAAGGGAAAATTGCTGAATTTTTCGTTTCCGTTCTCTAACTTTAGTTTGCCTCAACTAAATGCTATGAAACTTATACACAATGCTTATTACCACAAAATACAGATCAAGTTTGAATTTTGGTGGTTTCACTCTAACCGTTCTAGAGTTATGCCCTTTTACAAAGGGAAAATTGCTGAATTTTTCGTTTCCGTTCTCTAACTTTAGTTTGCTTTGCTCTACCAATTGCTATGAAACTTAGACACAATGCTTATTACCACAAAATACAGATCAAGTTTGAATTTTGGTGCTGTCACTCGAACCGTTCTAGAGTTATGCCCCTTTACAAAGGGAAAAATTGCTGAATTTTTCGTTTCCGTTCTCTAACTTTAGTTTGTCTCAACCAAATGCTATGAAACTTATACACAATGCTTATTACCACAAAATACAGATCAAGTTTGAATTTTGGTGGTGTCACTTTAACCATTCTAGAGTTATGCCCCTTTACAAAGGGTAAAATTGCTGAATTTATTGTTTCAGTTCTCTAACTTAAGTTTGCCTCAACCAAATTTTATGAAACTTATATACAATACTAAATACCACAAAACTCAGATCAAGTTCAAATTTGGGTAGGGTCACTTATACCGTTCTTCAGTTATGTCCGTTTATAATTTTATATAATATGCGAGCGGGGACATCATCTGTGTCCCATGGACACATTCCACATCTATTTTTTAAATTTCTATTCTTTCTGAATTCGTCATTTGTTGTGCGTCACATTTATATATTCCCGTATATTTACTTGTTTTCTTTGTCTGATTTTCTTATTTGTATTCGTTATTTAATTATCAATAGAGGAAAATTGTAAAAGAAACATACAGTTTTCATTGTTTACATCTTTCCAATCGATGCATCTTATCTTTTAGGTTTACAAAATACTTTAACAAATACCGACAACAGTATAGAAACAAGGAGAAGTGGTATGATTGCCAATGAGATAACTATCCACCTAATAGGCAACCGTACGGCCTATTGTTGTTACTTGTATTTATTGAAAAAAAAGGATTTTTAACAGATAAAAACATTGATTGTGAAACTGTTAAAATTGTTGAATTTATTCCGTAAAAAGTTTAGTATTGCTGAAAGTTATTAATACATAAACAAATTAAAATTTACTTCGAAATCTCCGATAAAGTTGTAATATTTGTCACTGGTGAAAAAAAATACATTCACATCGGCACTTTCAAAAATATAGGCGTGGTATAATACGATATTGCATTAGGAATATCGTGCAAACATGGTAACTCGCTACATCTATTCCCCGGGAACTAATAAAACAGTTAACCTGGAATTTATACATTTTAGCTTCAACAAAAGAAAATGTGCCAAGCTCTAAATTGCTCTACTCTAGAAAAGTTCTAAATGCATTAAACTGTCTAATCCGTCATACAATTTAGACAACATAAAAATAGCTATCCATCAACGAATAAAGGGCAAGGATGGAAACAGCTAAATGTCACCGTTACATTAGTTGTATGCATGCATTTTATTTGATCCTTAGTATATGTATATGATAAAATCTACCTAAATTTGTGAAAAATGAAATTGTTTGTCGTTTTAATTTTACCTGAAATGTTACCAAATAATCCTTCTTTACGTATGATTTAAATACCGTCACGGTGATCAATATTTTGACCTGCTGGTATTTTTAATAGAAAACTACTACTTTTTTCAACATGCATGTATACACAAGAAAAGGTCCAGCGATTGTAATGACATACTTTTGAAAATAATTTCGGAAAACGTGAACGAAGGAACGTGCCACAAGTAATCAACTGCGATTGTTTGTCAATAACTCCAATTAACAAAATTTTCTTAACTGATGATCAGTGTCGCATAGATTGAAAAGTTTTGTGATCATGACAACACCGCGATTGTTCTATAATTATTCGAAATTGTCAATCATACCACACACAATTATTTGTATATTTATCATGCCAAAATAAGAAAATAAAAACGAAATGTTCAGTACTGTGTAAATGTAACAGCCACTATGTTCCGTCAGTTACTTTGTTCCGGCGGAACTTTTCAACTAGTTATTTCGTTCCGATGGAACTTTTCAACTAGTTGTTTTATTCCGAGTGCAGTCGAAAAGTTCCGGTAAAAAGTAGCTAGTTGAAAAGTCCCGGAACAATGTAGCTAGTTGAATAGTTCTGGCGGAACAGAACAACTAGTTACATACCATATTTCGTCCTTTTTGTAGAAAGAGGGGGAAGAATGAGTATCAGTATATATAAGAGCAAATCATTAATTTACAAGAATACCCAACGCACTGAAAGGGGTTTCTTTGGGGACAAATATGCAAAATTTAAGTTGTATTTCATAGCTCACATAAAACGGAATAAGTTGCATTATCATGCAAATTTAGTATTCATAGTACCCTCAAGAGAGGGAAGAATACCCCCTCCTCATGTGGTTCTTTGCATCAATTCTCCAAATGGAACTTTGCGACTGGTTGATGAGTTCCGTTGGAACTTTTGGGCTAGTTTGTTAGTTCCGGTTTTGACTTATTTGCCAAAGAGGAACTTTGTGGCTAGTTGATAAGTTCCTTTTGACTTTTGTAATCAGTATCTTGGTTTCCCTTTGAAAGGTTCAAATATAATATGTTGCGCTTTTACTTTGCATCGTTTCTCCAAATGGAACTTTCTGCCTGGTTGATAAGTTCCGTTGGAACTTTTGGGCTAGTTTGTTAGTTCCGGATTTGACTAATATGGCAAAAAGGAACTTTCTAACTAGTTGATATGTTCCGTTGGAACTTTTCAACTAGTCACTTTGTTCGGGTGGAACTTTTAAACCAGAGGAAGAATAAAAGTAACTAGTTAATAAGTTCCTCCGGAACTTTTCGGCTAGTTAGTTCTTTCCGCCCGGAACTTTCCAACGTCGGAACAAAAGAGCATTTACATAAATGATGTGATTTTAATGACGAATCGCGTACATATACGAATACACTATAGGAATAAAAGGAGATGTGATAAATACGTCACGGAGACAGCTACTCAACAACACAAATAACCAAAAGTCGTCAACAATATAAACCTACAAAATATGTCAAACTGAAAATGGTTTCGATGGAATAACAGTTATAAACTTTTACCAGGTCTTATTTTTCAAATCACAAATAAAAGAAGCAAAAGAGTGTAGAGTACTGTTTTACATAGTTCATTTACTTTACCATACGAATACTTTATTAAACCAATCATCGACTAAGAAAGTCATGTAACATATAATGATCATTAATAGACATAGTATAGAAACAATAAAGCCAATGATAATATGAAGTTAGCTTTATAGCTGTTGTTTTCATATTGTCATGATTGTAAAACATTTTATATTAACCAATCAAAGCCACGGTGATGCCTATTTTTCATATCAACATGATGAAGGAATCGAAACATATCTCTGTATTCATTTTTTTTAAACTGATACAATACATACTTTTAA